AAACACCTATTATTTTATATCTTTAGGTTTTGTTGTTATCATTTACCTAAATCATTTTATATCAGTAAAAATACTTCATGTTTTCTGAGGTTTATTAATGAATAATAATAGGTCATAATTAGATTATGATCTAATCTAAACTTATTCTAAAACTATGATGATTAAAACTCTTAAGAGATGTTATATGTTTATTTAAAGATAACACAATATTGGTTAGATTATCTTTGACATTTGTCAAAATATGCCTTTTTGTCTCTTTAAGAATTATCTTAATCTCCTTTAAAGAGATCCTATTTTATCCCTATTTTACAAATAAGAACATTAAGGCAAGCACAGAGAGATTAAATAATGTGGTGTGGTCACACAGCTAGTAAGGAGCAGAGGCAAGATTCCAATCCAGAGAGCCTTTTTCCACAGCCCCCGCTCTTATTTGCTACTCCATCCTGGCACTCTGAATAGAAGTATTGTCATTTTATGTCAGTCAACAAACATTTACCAAACATTTACTGTGTGTTTTTTAGTGAGATAAAGAATATAAAGGAAGTTTTATATTGTGTTCAGGGATTGAAACCTAACGGAATCTTAATAAAATAGGCTCACAAAACAACTATATAAATTGTAAATCAAGAAGGCCTGTATTGGAAGTATAAACCACTGTAGGAACATTGAAGAAGGAAGGATTACTCTGATTGGGAAGGCTTTATTTTCTTAGAGGAAACAGTGTTTTCAGTGGGCTGTATAAGCTTTCAGGGCAGGTGTGAGTGAGGTAGATTTAGACAAGAGTCAGGAGGACCTTGAATGCCACACTAAAGAGTTTAGACATTTGGCCATAGGCAATATGAGCCTTCAAAAATTTTTTGAACAAGTGAATAACATGATCGTATTGGCATTTAGGTACAGAATTACAGCAGCATGAAAAATGAATTAAAGATGGTTTGTTGGGTTGCAGAAATAGAGATTATCAGTAAGATGAAAATTCATCAAGATGATAGAAGACTGTATATGCCCATCATCTCCTTGCTGCCCAAGTTCTTACAGGAATTTGCAGGAAGTACTGTTTTACTCTGTGTTGTTTTAAAGAGTAAATCTCCAATGATGCTGGAAAACAAGAAAGAGTACCTCATCTACTCATATATATATATGTTTTTGTGGGTTTTCTTTTTTTTAGTTTTGTTACAGGCCATAAACTTTAAAAGACTCAAAGCAGATAGGATTGCGTTGTTGAGGAAAACCGACACTCTTTAGAGAGAACTGCTCCAGAAGGGGTAGGGGTGCTAGGTGGGCTGCACATCAGGCATGTGGATAAAAAGTGGAGGAGGGAGCATGGGACTGTAAGAAGGATGGTTAGTCGGAAGGCTGCATGAGGAGTGGCACAGTACATCAGCGCCTTCACACTTGCTTACATTGAGCAGAAGGCAGCTGATACTTTTAGCCACAGCCTAAGGCACTGAATGTGGGGCTTGAGCTAAAGAGGCAGAGCAATGGGAAAGCAGCTAATGACACTCAGGAAAAGTGGTAGTACCCACTTCTGAAGAAAAGACAACCAGAATACCTCATCTAGCAGTATGTCCCTGGCATCTATGACAAGCAAATAGAGAACTCAAAAAAGAAAAACAGCCAGGAATTGCCAACCATTTGAAGTTTTCCAATATCATAAAGAAGATACAAAACTCAACCAACAGAACCTAAACCTAAAGAAAACAAATTATAGAGCTAACAAAAACAGACTGTAAAATAGGAGCGTCAGTTTCCTTAGAAAGAATTAAGAGAATTTGATCCATGGGGGAAAAAAATGTATAGATACTGGAAATTAAAAACCATTTTGTTGAAGTTTTTATAATACACAATAAATTAATAAAATAGCACAGTGAACCTAGTTAAAAGCAAATTAGTGAGGCAGCAGATCAAATGGAGGTATTCTCCAAGAGTATAACACGAAAAGATAATTACTTGGAAACTGTAAAAGAGAAAGGAGAGTTAACACAAGAAATCTCAACATCTTATAGAAATAAAGGCAAGAAGAGGTAAAATTGAGGAGAAAAATAAATAGTGGAAGCTGACTGAAGATGTATATCTTAGATTGAATTGAAGCATTGAGTAGGGAACAGAATGACCGGAAAATGACAAAGGCCTAGTTAAACAGATAGTACAAAACCTTCCAGAAAGAAAAACAAAAATAGTTACTTCAAGGGAATGGTAATCAGATTGCAGTAGTCTGAAGTGCCATAGTGTCTAAAGTGCTATATATGTGTATGTGTGTACATATGTGCATAGTGGTTCTGTGGAGAGCCACTCGGATGTCCCTCTGCCTTTTAGAACTGAAATGCTCATACCTTAGCTGCCGGGAGTGTTAGGAGCTGACAGGAATCTAGAAAATCTCTCTCCAGGAATTGCCCTCTGCTGAAGAAAGTTACCTTGCCCAAGGTCATGTCTCCTTCCCTGGAATGACCCACATTTAGTAATTTATCACTTTGGAGGATAAATGCCTGACCCCTTTGTCTCCATTCAGGACAACTCTGAAGGGCCATTGCAGCTCCAGTGCTGTGTGTAGGATTGTCTGAGGCCATCCTGTTTTCCTTACTTCCCCGCAAGTGTAGATCCCAAGTCCACAACCACTAAAATTTTGCCAACATATCTCCACTTCAGAGTTGGTTTCCCAGGGAATGCAAACTGTGACAATGTTTTTAAACACCATGGGATACTCACTAACATTCATTGTGTATTAGTATACAAAATTCCTTCAAAGACAGATGGAAGAAACCATATTTTCTGACTGTGATACAATATGATCAGATATTAACAACAACCCCAGGAACCACCAGCTAATCCCATTTATATTCACACACACACACACACACACACACACACACACACACATGAATGTCTTCAGATTCCAAGTGCTGTGCGTGTGGCAGACACTTATATGAAAGTAATATTTTAATGAATGTAGGACAAGTCAAATAAATTTTTTTTTTTTTGATACAGGGTCTTGCTCTGTCACCCAGGCTGGAGTGCAGTGGTGTCATCTCAGTTCACTTGAGCCTCAATCTTATAGGCTAAAGCCATCCTCCCACTCTGTCTCCCAGTAGCTGAGACTACAGGTGTGCGCCACTGCACCCGGCTAATTTTTGTAGCGATGGAGTCTCTCTGTGTTGCCAAGGCTGGTCTCGAACTCCTCCCAAAGTGCCAATTATGGGTATGAACCTGGCCATCAAACAAAATTTGAGAGAGAATAGGTTCTAATAAAACAGTCTACTGAAAATGAGTAATTTAAAAGTGTTTTTCCCTGGCCGTAAATAAGAAAAAGAACATACGTATTCATCTTTCATACTTTTATAAATTACATCTTATGTCACAAAATGGCAGCTTACCACTATGTAAGCAGAGTAGGTCTTTTGTTTGTTTTTGAGATGGAGTCTGATCTGTCACCCAGGCCGGAGTGTGTTACACAGTCTTGGCTCACTGCAAGAGTGATTCCCCTGCCTCAGCCTCCTGAGTTTCTGGGATTACAGACATGCATCACCAAGCCTAGCTAATTTTTATCGAGACAGGGTTTCAGCATGTTGAGACAGGGCTTCACTGTGTTGGCCAGGCTGGTCTCCAACTCCTGACCTCAAATGATCCACCCACTTCCACCTCTGAAAGTGCTGGTATTACAGGCGTGAGCCACCATGCCCGGCTGAGTAGGTCTTTAATACTGTATACTTACTTGCTAAAAAATTTATGGAGAACAGAATGAAAGTAATAAATATGAAATAAAATATAAAGACATCCTTATTTTCTACTTTATCAAAATGTTTTTTCTAAACATAATACATTTTTAGCTGACATTTGGTGGAAACCTGGGAAATAAGACTTAAGTAATTAAATAAATACATGCCTTTAAAACATCCTTAAGTGATGGAAACACAAATGTGAGTGCTGCTCGGAATCTTTGCACCCTGAGCTATACCTGTCATGATTCTTTTTGAAGAAGGATTCTTTCTTTATTTCATAGAGGTGGTCCTCTATGAAATTTCACATTTTGTATTATTCCCATAATCTATTGATAAAAAGCAATGCAATTATTATTTTCCCCCGGATGTAGATGATAGCAAACTTTACATTGGGCCACAGAAAAACCCTTGAGTGAACTGAAAATTCTCAGTGCTCAAGATTTAATATCTTGGCCTCTCAATCTGTTGCTTTTCTTTCTTCTAACATTCTTGCCCTCGAACTAACCTCAGCCATGGTAATGCCTTAAAACTGATCATTATCAATCACTGTAGCCCCTTCTTCTCCCACCCCCAGTAATCTCCATCTCAACTGTCTTTTAAATTTCCAGCTCCCTTCCTCTAACATACTGATCTCAATAATTATCGCATCCCCCTAGAAGTTCAGATTTATTGATTCACCTTTTCATTGTCTGTTACCTCTTTATCCCCTAGGTCCTCTCTTCTTGTCTTACTTAAAATTTTTTGTATGTGATTATCATTCCCTTGCCTCTCTCTAACCCTCATTAAATTCAGGGCTATTTGTGACCATTTTTTCCCCTCGAGATGAACTACCACTAAGTTGATACAACTAACGTTGGTAAAAAATCTTTTGAAATCAGTACCATCAGATTGGTTCATTTTAAATGAAAGTTGTTAAGATCTCTATTGTCTTTATAAAATACAAGTCTTTCACCATAATGAACTAGTTTCACATTCTGTGTGATTCCCATAATTTATTGATAAAAAGAAATGCAATTATTATTTTTCCCCCATATGTAGATGACAGCAGACTTTACATTGGGCCACAGAAAACCCTTGAGTGAACTGAAAATTCTCAGTGCACAACGTTTTTGTTTTTGTACATTCATGGGGTTTTTTTGTACATTTATGCTATTTCTAGGAAAAATTAGCACCATCTATATATAACATGATTTCATAATTAAGTTAGTGTTTCGTATAGCTAGTGTTTTTCTTATTTACACCATATGACTAACTTTAATCTATATGCGAATATATATTTAATAGGAAATTGCCCGGCATTTACGCCCCGGAACTCTCAGAGCAATCTTCGGCAAAACTAAGATCCAGAATGCTGTTCACTGTACTGATCTGCCAGAGGATGGCCTATTAGAGGTAAGATAAAGAAGGTAAACATCCTATTTATATTTCAAGCTCATAAATTATCTCAGCAGTTCTGATGCGTAAGAAAATGTTTAATATTCTTGGAAGACTCTCTTACTTGGCTGCCTGATAATTTTGGACTGCAACTTTAAAAGACCAAATTGTACCATGCTGTGCAACCTTCAAAGAATTAAGATTTTTTTTCTAGTTGGCATACATTATGATTTTAAAATAATTAAATTGTGTGAAATTTGTTTTTAAATCAGGTGACTATACCATCCATAAATTGTTAGTCATTAAAATACATACAGTTGGCCCTTGAACAATGTCTGAACTGTGCTGATCCACTTATATACTCATTTATTCAATAATATATTAGAAAGGTTTTTGGAGATTTGTGACAATTTGAAAAAAACTCATGGATGAACTTTGTAGTCTAGAAATATCAAAAAAATAAGAAAAAAGGTACATTATGAAGGCATAAAATATATGTAGATACTAGTCTATTTGTAAGTATATGGACTTTTTATGTTATCAGTGAAGCTCCCAATCAACAGCATTAGTAGTTAAGCTTTTGGGGAGTCAAAAGTTATATGTAGATTTTTCCACCATGCAGGGGGTTGGTACCCCTTATCTCCACACTGTTCAAGGGTCAACTGTTTTCCAATGAAATTAAGAAGTCCAGCCGGGCTTAGTGGCATGCCCCTGGAGTCCCAGCTACTTGGGAGCCTGAAGTGGGAGGATTGCTTGAGGCCAGGAGTTTGAGGCCACATTGTGCTATGATTGTGTTTGTGAATAGCCCCTGCACTGCAGCCTGGACATCATAGCAAGACTTTGTCTCTAAAAAGCGTGGGGAGGAGTCTAATGTACAGTGTGACAGTGTTATCCATGGCAAGTTCATATGGGTCTGCAGCAACCTCAGTACTTGCCTTTTCAGAAGAATAATTCAACCGAGGAGGCATAAGGTGGAAAGAGAGACCCGAGGCAAGTTTTAGAGCAGGAGTAAAAGTTTACTTAGAAACTTTACAGCAGGAACAAAAGAAAGGAAAGTACACTTGGAAAAGGGCCGAGCAGGTGACTTGAAAGACAAGTGTGTGGCTTGACCTTTTGACTTGGGGTTTTTATATGTTGGCATACCTCCGGGGTCTTGCGTTACTTCTGCCCACTCACCCAGCTCCTGAGATCTTACTGGGAAGCCCACTCATCACCAGTTTAGGTGTTCTCTATCTGTTAGGAGACGGCCTTTCCCTGGTGCCAGCTGTGACCAATTATTACTTCAGAGAGACAGTTAACAACCACCTGACCATCACCTGGTGGTCTCCCGACACTCCTCCTGTGAGATAGGGGAGCCCTTTCCTGCCTTGTTCACACCCGACTATCTACCCACTGTAACAATAGCACTAAAAGTGATAGCTAACATTTTGGGCACTGTTATTAACCAGATTCTATGATGACACATGTGTTGTTTAAACTCTTTCTTTTAATTGCCATAGCAACTCCATTCATTATATGTGTTTTTTTAGGAAACTGAAATTAAGACTCAGAGAGGTTAAGTAACATCCCCAAACCAGACAACTAATATGAGACAGAGCCATATTTGACTGCTCATCTTTTAAATTAACATAAAACAAGAAACAATGACAGAATTCTGAGAAAATATATGCGAAAATAGGTCTGGTTTAGGGTTAAGAAAGTTATTTGTAGGCCAAGATCCAAGAAGAAAACTTTACATAGAAATTTTATTTTTTTAACTTCTTATATATTTTTAAATTTTTGTGTCAAAATAAGCTAAATGAAATTTAAAAGGAAATAATAAATTTAAGTGATGTCATAAATGACAGAAAAATGGTTGATATCCTTAATACGTATTTATTTTAATGAATATCTTTTATGTGATGAAATCTATTAATCTTTTTTAAAAAATTATGTCCTGGAAGTTGTGCGTAGAAAAGCCTTCCTGAAATATTTTCTTCTCATTTTCATACATTGAAATGTTCAATCCACCTGGAATTTGTTAGACATACAGTGTGAGGTATGAATTTAGCCAGCTTTCACAATATTGTTTATTAATAGTAAACAGTTTATTTAAACGGCTAAATTTATGGCTAAATGGGTTAAATTCTTCCATCCTTTAATTGGTCTTCCTCATTTATTGAATACTTACATTACACCCTTGCCTGTTTCTGAACTTCCTATTTTACTCCATTGATCTGTGCCAGCAAAATATTATTTTTATTATTGTAGCTTATTTATACTTTACAAAAGTGTTCTGAAATGTATTCCTCCAAATGAACTTTGTTTTATTTATTTATTTATTTATTTTTGAGAGGGAGTCTCACTCTGATGCCCAGACTGTAGTGCGGTGGTGTAATCTCAGCTCACTGCAACCTCTGTCTCCTGAGTTCAAGTGATTCTTTTGCCTCAGCCTCCTGCGTAGCTGGGATTACAGGTGTGTGCCACCTTGCCCAGCTAATTTTTAGATGCAGAGTGACCATAAAATGTATTGCCTAATTAAACACCCTTTGAGACAGCTCTAATCAGACAAGATGTTAGGACAAGAGGCAGAAACTAGAACGATCGCAGGCAAACTGGAATATGTTGTTATCCTATTTATATGGCAAGAAGAGAAAGAGGGGAACATGCCACTTCTCTTTAATCTTTCCCTAATGTGATGTTTACTGAGCTATGAGTCATGAACATAGAGCTCAGAAAGTATGTCTTCCATTTATATTTTGTCATTTTTCATGATTTCATTTATTTTTATAGAAAACAATTATGGAACATGTTTTACTTGCTGGATTGTGATAGGATCAAACAATTCATTTCTACTGTTCTCCTAGAGCTCGTAGGAAGTTTGAGAGGTCAAATATCTCAGCATGAACATAGAAATTTGTTTTCTTTGAATATTGCTAATTGTAACCCAGTTGATTTTGTGATTGTAGGAATAAATTATGACATTTATGAGATATTTTAGAATGTTCTTTCACTGTTAATGTTCTCTTATACTCTGATGGCTCTAACTATAAAGATCTTAAATTTGTGTGTTAAAGACAGCATCGATGGAAATGTTCAGCTGAGTAATCGAAGAAATACTAGTTTTTCCATTAATGGCAAAGAGTTTTTGAAGTAATAATGCCCACTGCTGGCAATGCTACAGTAAAGTAGATACCGTCATATAGCTGGTGACAACTATGGGCGAAAAATATTGAAAGCCTTAGAGTTTTTCTATAACTTTTGTCCCAGAATTCTGCTTCTTAGAATCTAAGCAAAGGAAGAGAGTGGCAGCAGGACTACAAGATGGAAAGTTATCTGCACAGATGTTCATGGAAAGAGTATTTGTGGTCATTAAAAATGGAAATAATATGCATGTCTATGGATACATCCTGCCTTCCCCCATCTAAGAAAGCTTCCATGGCACCCAGTCTGCATCAGTCCATATGAGTGTTTTTCATAGCGCTTTGCCTTCCTGTACTGTAGTGGTGTAGCCGAGCCAAAATAGCTCTATACACCTGGGCAAGTTACTCATCTCACCATGCGTAGTGTCCTCACTCTGTAAAATGAGGATAACAGTACCTACCCTATCAAATAGCATTGTGCCTAGCAAATAGTAGTTGCTCAACAAATGATAATGGTTATATTATTATTACTATTACAGTATAGTGTGTTTGCTCATGTGAGACTGTGAGTTCACGTAGGGAAGAGATATTTTTCTTGCCTGATATATAAAAGCTATTCAATAAGTGGTTTTTGAAAGTAAGAAAAGGGAAGCGTTTAGTTACATAAATTATGCTTTTTGCACTCAGTGAAAAAAGTATGTCACCTTTCTTCTTTGGTGTTGATAATGAAGACTCTGTAATAGTGTTTCCTAGCCTTTGTTGCACATTAGAATCACTTAGCCAGTTTTTAAAATACTGATGTCCCGACTCACCCCCACAGATTCTAATTTTTTTTTTGAGATGGAGTCTCACTCTGTCACCCAGGCTGGAGTGCAGTGGTGCGATCTCGGCTCACTGCAACCTCTTCATCCTAGGTTCAAGTGATTCTCCTGCCTCAGCCTACCGAGTAGCTGGGACTACAGGTGCGTGCCACCACGCCCAGCCAGGATGGTGCCAATCTCCTGACCTTGTGATCCACCCACCTTGGCTTCCCAAAATGCTGAGATTACAAGTGTGAGCCACTTTTAAAACAATTTTAAACTTTTAGAAAAGTTGCAGGTACAATACAATAAATTTTTTTTACGAACATTTGAGAGTAAGTCACCACATGATGGGCATACTTCTGAATGCTTTAGTGTGTATTTTTAACATAAAAGAGCATTTTTTAATGTAATCATATTACAAGCTTCCAAGTAAGGAAATTAACATTGATTTATTACTACCATCTAATCCTTAGACTCCATTCAGATTTCACCAATTGTCTCAACAAGGTTCTTTGATAGCAAAAGGATCCAGGTGGGGACCGTGCATTGCATTTAGTTTTCTCCTTAGTCTCTTTTAATCTAGATCAGTGTCTACATTTTTCCTTGACTTTCATTACCTTAACACCTTAAAGATAACAAGCAGAGATTCTGATTCAATTGATCCATTTATCCCTTTGCTCATCAGAAATTTTTCTAGATGGCTTCCACCTACAGTTCTAACAAGATACTGAAAAATTTATTTTGCTGTATGGCATATGTTACTCACAGGAGAAGTCATTTGTTGGCTCCCCATTGTCTGTGAAAGTGAATAATGCTTTTGTGGTGTTATGACTCAACCTCGAGTATGCCTCCCCTCTTCTCCACTTCAGTGTTAGTTGTCATCTCACCCATGTCACCAATGATACTTCTGAAAGTCAGTTTTACTTTCTCCTCACTTCATCTTACCCCAGAATTTGTTGAAAAACGTATCTTTGGGAATCATTGTATGAGGGGAAAAAATATCTACCTATTTGCCTTTTACTTTACCTCTATACCTGTGGTCTTTTCCAAGGACCTTCTTTTTCTTATTTTCTCATACAGGAACAATCAAAACTTTGCACTTACTGAAATTGAAAACCTCAATGTTGATGAATGGGTATATGGTAGAAAATTCAAGAATGTTTGAATTTTAATTCTGTATACCAAAATGATAGGTCCTTTATTATTATTATTATTATTTTGAGACAGGGTCTCATTCTGTCTCCCAGGCTGGATTGCAGAATTGTGATCATGGCTCACTGCAGCCTTCACCTCCTGGGCTCAAGCAGTCCTCCAGCCTCAGCCTCCCGAGAGGCTGGGACTATAGGCTGTGCCACCATGTCCAGATAATATTTTTTTTGTAAAGATGGGGTCTCATCATATTGCCCAGGCTGGTCTTCAACTCCTGGGTTCAAGCAATCCTCCAGCCTCAGCCTCCCAACTTGCTGGGATTACAGGTAAGAATCACCATGCCTGGACTGTATTTGTATTTTTTAAACATTACAGCACTTCACTGGGGACATACCAGTAAACAGAATACATGTGGCTCTTATCTTCACGGAGCTTACCTTTCAGGAGACAGGCATGTACAGCAAATATTTTACAGGGTGATGAACACATGGGTCTTTCCTGTTTTTTTTTCCTAAATGTTCAGTAACTTGGTGATATCACTTTTGTGATTATAAAATTTTAAGCAGCATATAAAATATTTCATTGTATGTATAAGTGTAATTGCCCAATGGGTTCATCCTGCCCCCTACACAGCCAAAATCAGTTCACCGATACTGTGGCATTGAAGTTAGTTGTTTAACTGACAAAAGGCCAACCACATGGGAGATGGAGTTATTACCCAAATCAGTCTCCCCAAAGGATCAAAGATTAAGGTTTTTATGGACAATTTGATGGCCAAGGGCTAGGGAATGGGTACTGCTGACTGATTGGGGATGAAATCATGGAGGTGTAGAAAATGGTCCTCTTGTCCTGAATCTGCCTCTGGGTGGGGCCACAGGATCAGCTGAGTCATGAGTCAGGGTCCAGGTGAGGTCCATCGGTTGCCAGAATGGACATCTAAAAATCATCTCAAAAGACCAGTCTTAGGCTTTATAGTGATGTTACCTATAGGATCAACTGGGGAAATCACAAATCTTGTGACCTCTGGCCACATGAGCCCTGAGAATTAAAGCATTATAGAAATGACATCTACATTTTAGCAGAGTTCAGGCCTCTTTCATGATCTTCATCTTGTGGCTTTTCATTAGTTTTACAAAGGTAGTTTTCAGTTCCTGAGCCAGGAAGGAACTGAAGTTAAACTACAGACTAAATTCCTCTTGTGGTGAGCTTGGCCGACATCCAGAAATGAGTGAGGACAGCCAGCCTGTGGGGCTAGAAGCAAGATGGAGTCAGCCATGTTAGACTTCTCTCACTGTCATAAGCTTTACAAAGTCAGTTTCATAAGTAGTTGATCAAAACAAATCTGAATTTGGATACATAGTTATTTCTGCATGGATTCTTATTCTAGTACACTGAGGGGAAAATAATGAATCAGGAAATAAACATAGGTGCATGGTGACTAAGATGATTGGACAGGCCCCAATTTCTTGGCCATGATTAACGCAGGCCCCTGCACATACTGACACTCACAATATCTTTAGTTTTAGTTTCTATCTTGAAGGAAGAAGAGTTGTGATTTTTACTGGTACGTTGTCAAAGGGAACAACTTGTACAAATACAAAAGCAAACAGCTTTCTCTTTGAGATCTAAGAATAGTGCATCAAGACTGGGGCTTTGACTAGGAGGTGGAACATGACAAGAGATAAAGCGGAGAAGTCAGCAGGGGCCTTGTAAAGTCATATTAAGACATCTGAACTTTATCTTGAGGGCATTAGGTATCCAAATAAGTGCTTTACACAGGGAATAGCACAATCATATCTGTGTTATAGCGATCACTCTGGCTGTAGTGTAGAGAACAGATCAAAGGGGCCTTGGGTGGGGCAGTGGAAACAGGTGGGTGGAGTCTAGGGGGACAAAGACTAGGTAGAAGTCTATTAAGGTATATCAGGAGAAAATTCTGGTTGCCTGAATTAACTATGGCAGAAGGGATAGCCAGAGGCAGTAAGCTTCAAAAGACATTTAATGGGATAGATCAGACATTCTGAGAGACGAATTGGATGTGAAGGGTAACCTGTGGTAATGAATTCAGATTAACGCCTGTCCCCAAGCAGACATGATAGTACTACCTTTATCTGTGATACCAAAATCTAAAAATCAAAAAATGTCTGCAAGCAAAAGTTTTTTCATAGTTTAATGGTAAAGCCTAAATCAAGTTGTATATCATTAAACAATTTTTTTCAGTTGCTCGACAAAACATTCAATGTGTATCATTTTTATTTAACCTATTTAATGTGACTATTCACCTTGCTGCAAAAATATTAATGTATTTGATGATGAGTGACTTCCCAGACCCCTTGGATTATTACATAATATATGCTATGTATTCCGGATTATTATTGAAATTTCCAAATCATCTGCCACCAGGACTATGAATAACAGATAGTAGACAAGGTTTGAAGTGGCTGTGGAGAAAGTGCTGATCACAGAATATATATTTATGGGTTGTATTTACAATTCAATTGATTTAGGAGATTACATGTATTACGGTATTATTTTCTGATGAACAGTTTGACCTAGGGGTGAAGTTTTTACAGAAGGGTACAATGAGGAAAGATAATTGAGGATGTTAGCAACAGTGGTTGGAGTTATAAACAAGGAAAGATGTGATGGCTGGAGGTGCTTGAAGAAAGGGAGAGGAAAGAAGATGGGCCAAGGAACTGAATGCTTCTCTAAGCTACCTACAGAGATCCCAGGAATAACAGGGAGGGAGCTGTGTCATGGTACATTTCAGAAGTGGAGCTTTCCATAGTAATGGATGACATGGTTCAGGGTATGGCCATGGAAAGAAGTAGCCAGTGTGGAGTAGAGATCAGTATCAGTCACTAGAGATATGTAATTTTAGGAACTGAGAGAAGCTCTCATGTTGAGTGGCACTGAAATCACCTAGGATCACAGCTAGGAGGCAGAGTGGAGAGGAAGATGGTGACTCAAAGTCTGAAGTCTTTCACAAATGGGGAAGTGAACCAAAGGAAGCGAGCCAAAAGTGAACCAAAGAAAGATGTGACACCGACAAGGAGAAAAGATTTAGCCAGATGGCATAAGCCTCAAAGAGTCAGGAGCTCGTATTTGAGGGGAGGAGGTCTTAAAGTAGCACTGGGGCAAAGGATAGAACTACTCCTACCCTCCTGGCCGGAGATGCTTTGCCTGAGGACCCCAAGGAATTGATGCCCTTAGGGGATATCCAAGTTTCATTTAAGGCTAAGAGCCCTATGAAGAGATTCAAAGGAGTTTACAATGATACTGAAGTTCTGAAGGAGGAATAGGAATAGTTAGAAATGGGAAAGGGAAGAAGAATCTCAGAGTCCTGTGAGAATAGCAGGATGGGAGAAAAGAAGTGAATAGAATGGCCTCCATGTTGGTGGGTTGGGGTGTGACAAATTAATAATTAATTTTCTGGTCACTAGTAAATAGAGATCGTAAAATAATTTTAAGAATTAGAACTTTGGGCCAGGCGCGGTGGCTCAAGCCTATGATCCCAGCACTTTGGAAGGCCGAGACGGGTGGATCATGAGGTCAAGAGATCGAGACCATCCTGGTCAACATGGTGAAACCCCGTCTCTACTAAAAATACAAAAAATTAGCTGGGCATGGTGGCGCGTGCCTGTAATCCCAGCTACTCAGGAGGCTGAGGCAGGAGAATTGCTTGAACCCAGGAGGCGGAGGTTGCCGTGAGCCGAGATCGTGCCATTGCACTCCAGCCTGGGTAGCAAGAGTGAAACTCCGTCTCAAAAAAAAAAAGAGAACTTTTACTTTTCTGCCCTGTAATTTGAGATCTGAAGGTAGGCATGTGGGACTAGTATGGCAGCTCCATAATACCGTCAGTCACCCAGTCTCCTTGTCCTTGGTGCTGTCATCATCTTTAGTATGTGCTTTTTGTCTTGTTGCCACAGAATGGTTGTCAGAACTTCAGTTATCACCTCTTTTTTCCAGACATAAAGGAAGAAGAGTGAGGGCAAAAGGCAAAGAATACCAGCTGAGCTAACACTTCCTCCCTCACCCACCTTTAAGCTTTTCCAAAAACCAGAACCGTCACCCAACACCTTCTGGTTATGATTTTTTTTTTTGGTTGAGATTTAGTCGTGTGGCCACCCCTTTTTAGAAAGGAAGTGGGTAAATGTAGTTCTGTTAGATGGGAACATTGCTCTGTCTAGCAGAAATCAAGATACTGTTAGAAGGAAGAAAGAGAGAATGAATGTTGGGTAGGTAAATAGGAGTATCTTCCCAAGGTGGTCAACAAGAAGCATTTGTCTAGTATACAGGTTTCCCATAGAACTGGCCCCATTTGATCCCTAGTGTGGTGATTCTTACATGTCCTCTCCTGCTCTAGAATATCTGCATCACCTGAGAACTTATGGGAAATGGAATTCCGCGGCTCCACCGTAGGCCAGTTGACTCAGAAACGCTGGGGATTCAACCCAGGAGTCTGTGCTTTAACAAGCCCTCCAGGTGCTTCTGATGCCCATAAAATTTGAGAACTACTGTCCTAGTGCAGCGGTTCCCAATCAATGGCATACAGTAAAATCACTGATAGAGTTTTTTTTTTTAAAACTACCTAAGCCCAGAGCCCTATTATAGAAGATTCTGGTTAAATAGATCTGGGATGAGCTTCTTGTATCTATAGAGTAGTGCCCCCTCATTCATGGTTTCACTTTCCAGGGTTTCAGTTACCTGTGGTCAGCCATAGTCCAAAAATATCAAATGGAAAAATCCAGAAATAAATAATTTATAAGTTTTAAATTGTATGGTACCTTAAAGAGAAGGGTTATAAAAATTTTTTTAAAGTTTTAAATTGTATGTCGTTCTGAGTTTATGATGAAATATTACAGTATATTGTTATAATTATGCTATTTTATTGTTAATCTCTTACTGTGCCTAATTTATAAGTTAAACTTTATCATATATATATGAAGAAACATAGTATAGATAGAGTTCTATCTATGGTTCAGTTCTATGGTTTCAGGCATCCACTGGGGGAACTGGAACATATTCCCCACTTATAAGGGGGCCATTCTGTATTTCATGCTGCAGGTGATTCTGATATGCTGATATGGCTGATAGTTAAACTGGCATTTAGAAATGACTGTCCCAGTGAGTTGAGGGCACACCAGACTTTTTTTAACTTGTAAAACAACCTATCAACTTAGTAAACAGACAACCTACAGAATGGGAGGAAGGTTTTGCGAACTATGCATCTGACAAAGGTCTAATATCCGGCATTTAGAAGGAACTTAAATTTACCAAAATACAACAACGAAACTCCATTAAAAAGTGGCCACAGGACATGAACAGACAGTTCTCAAAAGAAGACATACACCAGACTTTTTAGAAGTCAGCTTTGGTTCTGCTTTTGGGGAAAGCCTAGACCCTGTGAGCAGGCCAGCAATGGGATTGTTTTGCTTTCAGGACTTACTGAGAGTTGGAAACAGCAGCAGCTTCTTAACTTTGAAGGGATCTGTAGCCAAGGGTTGTTACACTTCCAAGGGAGTTCCAGTCTCTGAATGAGGGAATCTTTGGCTTCTGTGGAAAGAGCCAACCATGACCCGATTGATTACCCAGATCTTTGGGGGAAGTCAGTGTTGAGGCTGCCATTTGCCTTCCCAGGGAGGAGAAGAGGCCTGAGATATGTATGCATTTGCATGTATTGAATGAATGCTGAGGCTAACAAGGACAGAGGCGCAGGGTCTCTTGCAGCTTAAAATAGTTATCTTCAGGGTCATCAAATCTGTACTTACCATTTAGCATGGTCATGCGGCTCAGAGTTGTACGGGGGACCAAGTCTTGTCTCTCCCTGTGGGTTGTGTAAGTGCTTTGAGGGCCCAGGGTTATCATGGACTTTTATCTCCAGGTGCTTACATATTGCAGGCTTTTAGTTTGTTGAGTAAATGCATGGGGGAATATATCATGAATGGGGACAGTGTACCTTCATCTCCGCTCTCTTTTCTTTATATGGCTGAAATGTCAAATGACCTGATGAGAGTGAGCCCCTTTCAAGTACCACATCTCGCTATTCCCTCTACCTGCCAGTTGCCAGAAAAGTCTACTACAGCATCCCAAAAATGCGAAGAATTGTTCTGTATCAATTAAAAAGGCCACTTCCACCAACATCTTTTCTCATTGCTGTTTATTCAAGTAAAACCTGAAATATGTGCATGTGGAAAGCAGATAGTTTGCATGGATTTATTTTCTTCATTCTCAAACCTTATATTTCAAAAGTCTCTAAATTCATCTTAAAAACATCATGAAAATATAAGAGGCATTAAGCCATCAAAGTGTAATTCTTTATGGCCCAATTAGTATTTCATCAGCATTTGCTGTTTTCTCAAGTAAAGGAATCTTGGATAAGGAGCAATTTCATGTTCCCTCCTATATCCCGTCATAGTGGGGCATATGTTCATTGCTAGATCAGAGGGAGTTACAGGTTCATAGATCTTTCCATTTCTCAAGTACAGTCCCAGCTGCACCCTTTCGTCAGATGGGCGCCTTCTGAATCTAAAAAGCAACAAGCTTAATAACTTAAGGACTATATTTAATATTATTTATCCCACTTTATATAGGCACTTATAAAATAATTCATTGAAGACTCTAGGATTATTTTAGATTAATTTATTTTTGATAAATTGGTTAATGAATAACTATGGAAAATCCATATAAAACAAATAGACACAGAATCATTGAACTAAAAGTGACCTTAAAGGGGGCATTTAAGAATCTCCAGGCATTTTATCTCAGCACTTTTGCATCTTCTCTGCCCATTCCCTAGGAAATGGTTCTCAAACAGTAGCAGAATTCCCTGGAGGACTTTTTAAATTAAAAAATATATGTTTTTGAGACAGGGTCTCACTCTGTCAGCCAGGCTGGAATGCAGTGACATGATCACAGGTCACTGCAGCCTTGACCTCCCAGACTCAAGTGATCCCCCCTTAGCCTTCCTAGTAGCTGGGACCACAGGCATGCACCATCATGCCCTGCTAATTTTATTTTATTTTATTTTACTGTAGAGACAGGGTCTCTCTGTGTTGCCCAGGCTGCTCTAGAACTTTTGGAATCAAGTAGTCCTTCCACCTGGGCCTCTCAAAGTGTTGAGATTACAGGCATGAGCCACCATGCATGGCTAGGCTTTTTAAAAAGTACAGATTGCTGGGCTCTACTCCAGAGTGCCTAGTTCAGTAGATACGAGATAGGGCCTGAGAATTTGCATTCTAAGAAGTTCCCAGTTAATGCTGTTGCTGTTGGTTTAGAGTACCACACTTAGCCATTGCTCTAAGCCAGAAAACACTGTGCACTCCCCATTACGTCAGGTTGTTCTCTTGATTAATTTTTGTCAAGCTGTCATCAGATTTGGGATTTCACAGACCTGAAATATTTAAAAAAAACAACAACAAAACTAAGCAATAAACAATAGTAACAAAACCCACTTTGGGAATAGACATAATGATAAACTTTTTAAAATTTAACAAATGAAGGCATTAGAAAAATTTGTTTTCCATCATCATTGTTTTGTTTTAAAAGGACATTTAATCATGAACATCATAGAATAATGGACTGTCTCTTCAAATGAATAATTCAGCTTTGTCTGAAGCTCACTTCGTTGCTATGGCATGGCAAAGGCATGATGGTCGAAGCAGTCTGCTTTAGGTACAGGCAAAACAGAGTTGCATCTTCTGTAGATCATTTTAAAACAATAATAGAATCCACTAATAGTTTGTCTGCTTTTCATTATCACTATAAACAGGCAGTTCCAAACAATGTCAGTGAGAAAATGCCTCCCCTTCCCCAGGGTGGACGACTCCTGCCAACTCTTGGTTCATCACTGCTTTGTGTCCTCATTTTTCCCATTTTGCCAAAAAGCAGTGAACTGTCATCCTGGACCCTCACCATCTGGTGGTTGAGAGCAACTGGGCTAAGTTACACGTGCTTATGGAGTCTTTGATTCTTAATTTTATTCAAACTTGATATGGAAAGCATATATCACATTTCATAGGTCAAAGAGGAATATAAACTACTTGAGTCCCAAGAGTGATGATTTTATCTATGTTAGAGAAAATTGCGCCAGCTGCTTTTGGTAATCCCAGCACTTTGGGAGGCTGAGGCGGAAGGATTGCTCGAGCCCAGGAGTTCAAGACCAGATAGGGCAACACAGCAAGACCTGTCTCTATCTTTAAACAATTTTTTTAAATTATACAAATTTTAAAAACATATATGAAAAATTTTTAAATTGTTTATAATTATTTGGAGAAATAGAGTCTAACACATATATAAGCACAAATATTTTTAAAATTATTTATTTAACTAGAAATAATGGACAAAGTTAGAGAATTCTAATTTTCAAACGCAAAGTAAAAAGCCAGAGATTTTTTCATAATATTGAGTTCTTCACCATAACATGAGGAATTAAAAATGATTTTTATTTCAAAACTTAATTTTATCTAATCTATGGCTTAATTTTAAGTTAACTACCACGTGTTATTTTATTTAAATTTCATCCTTTAATTGATAAGAATATGCAGTCATTTCACCAGGTGGTGTTTGAAGATGCACATTTCTGCCAGCACAGTGGCTCACACCTATAATCCCAACACTTTGGGAGGCAATCACTTGAGCCTACAAGTTTGAGACCAGCTTGGGCAACATGGCAAGATCCAGTCTCTAAAGAAATACAAAAATAAGCCAGGCATGGTGGCACGTACCTGTAGTCTCACTGCTCCAGAGGCTGAGGCAGAAGGATTGCTTGAGCCTAGGAGGTCAAGGTTTCCATGAGCTATGATCATGCCACTGTACTCCAGCCTGGGTGACAGAGTGAGATTCTGTCTCAAAAAATAAAAAGTTATTATCCCTATTTGGCTGGGTGCAATGGCTCACACCTATAATTCCCACACTTTGAGAGACCTGGACTCACTTGAGCCCAGGAGTTCGAGACCAGCCTGGGCAACATAGGGAGATATCTCTACAAAAAATACAAATACAAATAAAACAATTAGCCAAGCATGGTGGCAGGTGCTTAAAGTCTCAGCTAGTCAGAAGGCTGAGGTGGGAGGATCTCTTGAGGCTGGGGGTTTAAGGCTGCAGTGAGCCATGATCATGTCACTACACTCTGACCTAGGAGACAGAATGAGACTTTGTCTCCAAAAAAAAAAGAAAAACATGTGAAACTAAATTGTAATACAAAATTAAACACCAGCATAAGAGAATGTTGCCAGATAGTTAATATATGATGAAGTGTTGGAAATAGTAAGTATGAGAGTTTAATGGAGAGCAGTGTGACTGGCTGAAGGGGGTCAGGGAAATTTCACGAATTTAATGAAATGGCATCTGAAGAATAAGGCAGATTCTTATACACACAGAAAAAGAACATGGCAGGCTAGTTTTGGAGACATTGAGTTCCTCTGGTTGAAGTGGAGGGTTCTTTGGCAGAGTATGGGAGATAAATTTGGAAATGTAAATTAGAGCTTGATTGTAGAGAATTCGGAAAGCTTTCTGACGGTAATAATGAACACTATGATAATGGTGATACAAATAATAACTTTAATTTACTAAGCAATATATACCAGGTGCTGTGCTAAGTTGTTTACCTGTATTACCTAAAAACTCTATTGAATAGTTTCTGTTATCTCCATTTTATATGTAAAGATAGTGAGCCTCGCATAGGTGAAATGACTTGGCCAAGATCACTTCACCAATAAGTGGCAGAGAGCTGAAATTTGAACCCAAGTTTGTCTAAGTCCAAAACCAATGCTTTTATAGGTCATCCAAACTAGGTCAAGGATGACAAATGTGTTTCAATTCAAGTGCCAACTTTTGATTTATTGATAAAATCACAACAAAATAGAAAAAAAAATCACCTTGATGGATTTCCGATGTTTGCTGTAAATGTGGGATGAGAGTTTCTTGGTATGCGTGATACACAGTGACGACGTAGGCTCTAGAAAACTGGAAGCCATCAGAGATTTTTGAACAGGGCAGTGACTTGATAAAGTAAAGTTTCCAAAGCTTTAACCAAGCAGCAGAGTTTAAGGTGAGTAGATAATAGGAGTAATGGAAGCATATGCTCTGATCATCCAGTAACAAGTCTTAAGGACCTGGTGGTCTAAAATGAGCCCATTCAGAAATTTTCTTCTACTTCAAGTGATCTATTTTGACTATCAAGATACAATTCTTTGGATAGTAGCTATCTCCTCCACTGACCTCTATGCTCCATGAGAACAGTGAGCTTGTATGTTTTGTTCATTGCTCAATTCCCCAGTGGGTAAGCATTCCATATATTTTTCTTAAATCCAGTAATAGTAAAAGCAATAGTAGTAACAGAAAGCACTCACTTTATGCCCAGACTGGGTTAAGTACTTTGAGTATAGCAAATGCACATGGAATCAGACTACCTGGGTTTGAATTCTAGCTCTGCCACTTTCTAGCTATCTAAGCAAGCTGGTTAAACTCTTCTGCCTGAATTACCTCATCTTTATGGTGGGAATAATAATAGTACTTATCTCAGAGAGCAGCAGCAAGAAATAAATTAGGTGATATATGTAAATCAATAAAAACAGGGAGTATTCAATTAATTATTGGTTACTATTATCTTTTTAAATTATTATCATCTTCACCATTCTATACTTAACTTGTCCATTAGAAAATAAGTATAGTAGAGTCAAAGGAAAGTCTCTAACTTCTATGGCATGCCTGTTTTGTGTCAGACCTGTTAGGCTCTTTTATAAATGATGTCCCAGCTAACTTAAAACTCCAAGTAGAATTGCACTGCCAGAAGCTACTTAATTATCTTTTCACCAAACACAAAACCCACGCAAATCTGGATTTTTTTTTCTTTTCAACTGATTATAGGCTTTAACAAATCTAGTTTCAAAAAATGTATTTTTTAAGGTTAATTTAAAAAGCTTTACACTGGGGGGCTCCCATGGGGAGGCAGGCTTCAGATCAGGTCATGCAGGGGCAATGAACCCGAGGGAGGAGGCAGATGGACAGAGGACGCAGGCAGAGGGAGGGGGTCTGCAGAGAGAAGAAGGTACTGACCAAGGTGTGGAATGACCATCTCTACCAAGAGGCCGTCTACCTCCCAGAGTGTCCAGACACTGGTGCACTCATTCCCACATGAGTGCCTGGGCTGCCACAGCCCTGAAGAAAGTGGCACCCACTCTGGCGGTCAGTGGGTCTGGCCTGGTGAAAGAATCATCACAGGCTTAGAGAGCTGGACAGCCTTGGGAGAGTAAGGGAGACATCTCTTCCAGCCTCCTGCCCTCAACCTGAGTCCAGCTCTGAGCCCTGGGTCACCCAGGGCCACCCCGGACTCACTGGAATTCCTCCACCAGTAGGTCAAGTTCTGTAGAGGTTAAGGGGGTCACAGTCCTACCAAAGCCTCATGCAGTCATCCTCCATCCCCTCAAGGCCTCTTCCCTGATCTATTCCATCCTGCCACTTTACTCATCTCATCAGCTGCCCCTGAAGCACCCTTTTGGTTTTCATTGGGACTCAGGGCTGGTTTTGTCTTTCAAGGCCTTGGTGAAAGGCTGGCCCAGGATTTGCAGCCACACCTCATACAGCACCAGCTCTGCTTTCTCCCCTAGAGCGATGGGGGTAGAAGTGGTATCAGCCTGGGCCCTCCTATCCTAGAAGCCCTGGGATGGGACCCACACCCAAGCTCTAATGCTCCCATCCAGCAGTCAGCCATTGGTGGTCTAAGGGCCAATCCCTTGCTGCCTGTTTTTGAGTGGCCCATGAGCTAAGAATGGCTTTTACATGTTTAAATGGTTGAAAACCATAACAAGTAGAATAATATTTTGTGACACCTGAAGAGTATGTGATATGCAAATTTTAATGTCCATCAATAAAGTTTTATAGGATCATGCCAGGGTGGAGGAAAAGGCTTTTATTCTTTTAGTGTAGCCTTTTATGCTTGAAGAGCAAATTATATTCCCTTGCAAGAAATTCAAAGGTCAGTAGCTAGGTGCCGGCCTCAGCACCATGCCTATCTATACTTGCTGCTCTTTTTTTTTTTTTTTTTTCCTTTTCCAGCTTCTCCTCTCATCACATAAACTCTCTTGTCTGTCACCTGGCAGTAAAATTAAACTCATGGATGATTCCCTTTTGTAGCTGAAGTTTAGAGACAAAAGCTAGCTGGCTAATAGGAAGGAGAATACACGTTTTATCTAGTCAAGCAAAACATCCCTTTGCCTGCTGTTTATTAAAAACAAAATCAAAATGACATTTCATCACCACTGAGCAATACTTGTCTCTATTTTGTAGGCCTTTCCTATGACGATCTTTAGTTATGTTAATATAGTAAGTGAGTTTGGCCAATTATTGATCTTTTATCATAAAGGAGAAGTTAAGGGGTTAGCAAGGGCCCTTGAAATCCAAAGATACTAGCAACCATTTTTCCATTAATTGCAACCTATTCACCACAGTACATCTTACCTTTTTTATAACAAGTATCCAGATAGACTAGCTTGCCCTTAGACTCTTAAATATATTTTTCTCAACTGTCTTTTTATAGAGCACAAAAATATTTGTTATGGGCTTAATATGCACACACACACACAGTAAATTAGAGACAATATATCTATATATCATAAACTAGAGACGAGTCTTGCTCTGTCACTCATGCTAGAGTGCAGTGGTAATGATCATAGCTCAATGCAGCCGTGAACTCCTGTCTCAGGCAGTCCTCTGCTCTCAGCCTCCTGAGTAGCTGGGACTACAGGCATGCACCACCATGCCCAGCTGATAAAATAAATATTTTATAATTGAATGACGGTGATTCGGAGTCATGAAGGGACCCAGAGTCATAAAATATAAAGATGTTAAAAGACTGGCTCACATCAGAAGTATAAAGTTCGAGTTTAGTAAGTCAATATGAAAGTAGTCTCCCCTTAGCCGCAGTTTTGCTTTTCATTGGTCTCATTTATTCTCAATCATCTGTAGTTCAAATATATTAAATGGAATATTCCAGAAGTAAACAATCCATGTTTTAAATTGCACACCATTCTGTGTAGCATGATGCGATCTCATGCTGTTTTGCTTTGTCCCTTCTTCATCACCAGAAGCGTGAATACAGTACTCAAGATGTTTTCAGAGAAGACCACATTCACAGCATTACTTTAATTACAGTATATTGCTATAACTCTTCTATTTTAGTATTAGTTACTATTTTGATCTCTTAACTTTGTGCCTGATTTATAAATTAAACTTTATCATAGGTATGTCTGTATAAGAAAAAACATCGTGTATGTAGGGTTTGATACTATATGTGGTTTCAGGTACCCACTGGGGGTTTGGGATAAGGGGGGAATATTCTAATAACCAAATATAATCCTCTAGCAGTAGACAGAAATGTGTAACTAAAATATTAACCTCTCTTAGTTAAATATTTATTTTATGTTTATTTTATTTTGAGATGGCGTCCCACTCTGTTGCCCAGGCTAGAGTGCAGTGGCAAGATTTCAGCTTCCTGCAACCTCCATCTCCCAGGTTCAAGCAATTCTCCTGCCTCAGCCTCCCAAGTACCTAGGACTACAGTATGTGCCACCACACTCGGCTATTGTTTATATTTTTAGCAGAGACAGGGTTTCACCATGTTGGCCAGGCTGGTCTCAAACTCCTGACCTCAGGTGATCTACCCACCTCAGCCTCCCAAAGTGCTAGGATTACAGGCGTGAGCCACCGCACCCAGCCAGTTAAATATTACTTAAAACTAACTAATAGATATGCTCACTAGAAGAGCATTGGTCTAGAATATATTGTGTGTGGGGGCATCTTGTGAAAGAGAACAACTGAGAAAAGATGCTTAGGACAACACATGTATGGGCACATGGCTTTGACCCACATACCAAGTAAGGGAGACAAAGTGCCCTTTTTAACCTGTGACTTTTGTGTCTCTTCACCTAACCCAGCTGGTATTGTATTCATATTACCAACCACCAACACTGTCCAGTCCCTTCATTCTCCTGGCTCTGGAAGACTGCGGAGAAACATGAAACCAGCTCAGTCACTGTGCTTTGCTCTCTGCAGTCTGACTCTGAACTCTTGACTTTGATCTACTGCCTCATTTTTCAGTCAGTGACTAAGCAGTTTTTGAGTTAATAAGTAACTCTCAGGTGACTGATTAAAAATTCTAGGAGGTGACTTAGAAAGGAGTCTAAAATATTGTTGCACTAATCGAATTCATCCTGTTTTTCATTCACAAAATAGTACAGCTACTAGTACTTTGGCTTTAGGGTGAAAATTGTTAAACCCACTACTGTTCCTTGTCCTTTAGACAGTTATGGGCCGTCCTATTTCAACAAGAGGAAACAGAGGACTAGTCTAAAGGAAAATATTAGGCTCAGTGTTCTCAAGAGCACATGTATTGAGAAGATTTTGCAGGTTATGGAAAGCATTTAAAGAAACAAGGCCAGGTGCAGTGGCTCACTCCTGTAATACCAGCACTTGGGGAGGCCAAGGCAGGTGGATCACTTGTCAGTAGTTCAGTTGCCGTATTGCCTGGCCAATATGGCAAAACCTTGGCTCTACAAAAATATACAAAAATTAGCCAGGTGTGGTGGTGTGCGCCTGTAGTCCCAGATACTCAGGAGGCTGAGGCAAGAGAATCGCTTAAACCCAGGAGGCGGGGTTACAGTGAGCAGAGATGAATCGAAACACTGCACTCCAGCCTGGGCAACAGAGCGAGACTCTGTCTCAAAAAAAAAAGAAGAAGAAAGTTGAAAGAAATTTTGTCTTCAAATGTCAAATACCTCCACTGCCATGTAGATGCTAATATTGTGTAAGCAATTTTCTGTGAGCTAATTGTGAAAGAAGTTATAACAGTTGCTATACCCTTCTTACCTTGAATCTGAACGTTAATTTAGCCGCAAAGATAGCAACAAGACAACATCTCGAACGTGTCTTCTCCATAGCAAAGTCACACTTTCTTTTAAGCATAGATGAAATCTAAACTACTGTAGTCATTAATTTTAAATCTCATATTGGGCAAATGCTTACTTGATATAGTCAGGAGCTTGATACAGTCATGTTTTTGATGAATTTTAAAAGATAGCTCTGCTGTGAAGTTTATTTGCATTAACTCCTTCATACCATTTGCTTGTGGATTTTGTGTTTTTATGTATATGGTAGGAATAGTAACTAGCTTGTAGGGAGTCCTAGCCATAAGCCAAGCATTGGTCTAAGTGTTTTGTATGCATTAATTGATGACTCCATTTACAGATGAGTGACTGAAACATGGAAGAGTTAAGCAACTTTCCCAAAGTCATACAGCCAGGACATAGCAGAACACAGCCTTGAACCCTGGCAATCTGGGTCCAGAATTTACACTTTCTAACCTCACTGCCTTGCTGTATGATCTTAAACATGCCAAGTATTATTTCTCTAGAGTTCATGATAGGATGGGGAGTAAGAGTAGAAAAATTAAGAATGGGGGAAGATATAATAGGAAATTGAGTCAGAATATTTGGCCTCCCTCAAAAGTAATTAGAACGATTATATATTTACTTATGTTTTATCCTTTTTAACTGATATTTTTATTCATAAGCTTGTCCAACTCAGTTTTAGATTAAAAATATAAAGTTATTTATTTCCTAAAAAATTCTGAACTATCAGACTGCTGCATTGTCAGCAGCAAGAGACCTCTGGGTTCCTGAGGGGGATGAGGGAAGGTCTGGTGCCCCTGAAATTCCAAAGAATTATTCTCATCTCACTGCACTGTGCTTACCCATAATAGAGGCATAATCAATATTTGTTGAATGACCAAGTACATAATTATCATCTCTCTTTATAATGGTAATGTGTCATGTGAGGAACAAAATCACAAATACTTTCTCCTCTTTGTCCCCGGCGTCCTTATACCTACTTCTGTTAATAGATGTGGTGTACTGTAAAGTATTTGTTTCTATGTAGTTCTCCCCACAGTGTGAACTTGAGGACAGGGGCCATGTCTTACCTCTGTATCCCAAGAATCTTGCATCTGGTTATCAATAACTTAGCTTGTCATTGACAAACGGCTGTGGAAGGAAGGGAAGGAGTGAGGCAGAAAGGTGGACCTAGAGCTGGTACCCTTGTGTATCTGTTTTACGTTTGTTAAAAGTTCATTGAGTTTAATCATTTGAGACTTTTGAAATATATTTGAAGATGATATTTCTTGGATTTGATATGACTCCTCTGATTTAACCCCTGGAACGAGGCCACTGGGATTCAAACAGTGTGTATGTTATAGTCTGTCCCTTAGGAAGACCGCCTGATTTTATTGCAAAATTATGTCGTACTCCAAAGGGCTTTGGATGTACTCTTGGTGAGTCTATCTATAATTATTGATAAATGCATTCATTTTTGCTTAATTTATACAGAATGCTTATGTGAATCACCCCAAATCACTGTAGCATTCTAAATTTCCATCTCATGCTATAGCTATGGACTAGGAAGTCTGCCTTGGAAATGATGGGTTATTCTTTGGAAAACCACATATGTATTTATTATTTGAGACAAATGTGCAGTATGGGGTCTTTTCCCCCTCCAATAATATTAAATGCTGTGTTCTCACTTGTAGGTGGGAGCTAAACAATGGTTACACATAGCCATACACAGGGAAATAATAGACACTGGGGACTTTAAAAGTGGTGAGGGTGGGAAGGAGATGAAGACTGAAAAATTGCCTGTTGAGTACAATCTTCAGTATTAGGGTTACAGTACGCTAGAAGCCCAAACCTCACCATCACACAGTATATCTCTGTAACAGACCTACGCACATACCCTCTGAATCAATACAAATAATATGAAATACTGTATCGTCCACTTTTTACTTTCTTCTCCCAGGCCTGCTGTACTCTCATGTTACACCTCATTTGGCTCGCATCTCTTGCGGTACGCACCGTGCACTCACAATTGTGCTGGATGCTGTTTTTGTTTCTACGGGTTATAAAAATTTGATTTTCCTCCAGAATTCTATTTTTTGTTTTTAAATTCAGGTCAGCATACATGATGACTTCCATCTTTAGTGTAAGCACAATAAAGTGCTTACAATAAAGCTTTCTTGTTTACGGGTTTTACTGACCCTGTCATCTTGCAGAATACAGTCTATCTATTAGTAAGTGATAGCTCTCATTCTGTCATTACCACGGTGGTCTGAGCAAGAGTAGGGGCTGGAATGAGGCTACATATGGATTCTTGATGGGTAGTTTTAAAAACTGTGCTTCCATGGAAGCTTCTGATAATGTGTCCCCACCTCCACCCCACCTCCCACTGTGCTGCTATAACTGGCCTTATGACAACAAATGAATCTGGCATAAGAGAGAAGAGCGCCAGAGTAAGTGAGACAGAACTGTGTGAACTGGCCATGTCATTGGATTCTACCCAGTCATAAGAGAGAAGAGCACCAGAGTAAGTGAGACAGAACTGTGTGAACTGGCCATGTCATTGGATTCTACCCAGTCATAAGAGAGAAGAGCGCCAGAGTAAGTGAGACAGAACTGTGTGAACTGGCCATGTCATTGGATTCTACCCAGTCATAAGAGAGAAGAGCACCAGAGTAAGTGAGACAGAACTGTGTGAACTGGCCATGTCATTGGATTCTACCCAGTCATAAGAGAGAAGAGCACCAGAGTAAGTGAGACAGAACTGTGTGAACTGGCCATGTCATTGGATTCTACCCAGTCATAAGAGAGAAGAGCACCAGAGTAAGTGAGACAGAACTGTGTGAACTGGCCATGTCATTGGATTCTACCCAGTCATAAGAGAGAAGAGCACCAGAGTAAGTGAGACAGAACTGTGTGAACTGGCCATGTCATTGGATTCTACCTAGTCATAAGAGAAGAGCACCAGAGTAAGTGAGACAGAACTGTGTGAACTGGCCATGTCATTGGATTCTACCCAGTCATAAGAGAGAAGAGCACCAGAGTAAGTGAGACAGAATTGTGTGAACTGGCCATGTCATTGGATTCTACCCAGTCACACTGTAAAAGACCATTATGCATTATGCTTATATTCCGTTGTGTAATGAATGGTAATTTTTCTCATGATAAATACTGGTCCCTTTTGATACCGACCTTAGAGTTAGAAATAGCTTAATCTGTTGAGTAAATGAATAAAAACCACAGGTTTAAACAGCAAAAATAATTTCTTTGCTTGGAATATCAGTGTACATATCCTTCCATGCAAAGGTCCCCACTTCGCTCATTACCTATTAACTTGTTGGTTGCTCTGCAATCACCATTTGAGAGCTAAGATCTGCTGCTTACTATTCACAAGGCAGAGAGAACCATAAAACGTTATACAATAGTAGCACACAGCGTAGCTTTGAATCTTTCCATAAAGTCATCATAATGGTACATTTTCTGAGTATTGCCTTCATATTGTTTTGATAAAGAACTCACTGTTCTATTGTTTACATAACGATTTTCTGTAACAGAAACCTATATTGACATTGATACCTTACACATGTTTTAGTCATTTTACTAGGGGTAAAAAATAACTTTGTTGCATAATATATTCTCTTTAATGGCCTTTGTGGATAATTACACATTGCAAGTATTCAATTTTGTTTACTGGTATTCCAGTTTGTCTTCTCTTTTGAGGGTTTTTATGTATGCATTCTCTTAGTTCTTTACCTTGATTTTTTGTTTTCGTCCTTGTTTTCTAAGATGGAGTCTCACTATATTGCCCAGACTAGAGTGCAGTAGCTATTCCCAGGAGCAATCACACTACTACAGCCTGAAACCCCTGGGCTCAAGCAGTCCTCCTGCCTTAGCCCCCAGTAGTTGTGATGGCAGGAGAACGCCACAGTGCCTGGCTTCTTCTACTGTTGATACTTTTGGTACTTCTCAGGTTAACATACATTTATTGAAGGCCTGTTTGTGTCATTCACTGTTATAGGCACCGTGGCTAAATAAGACACACTCTTCATTCTCAAAGAATTTAATGTTCTCTAGGAAAAATTGTTAATCAAAATAGGTCATTTTCACATCAGAAAGTAAATGCTGGCTGGGCGCAGTGGCTCAAGCCTGTAATCCCAGCACTTTAGGAGGCCGAGGCGGGTGGATCACGAGGTCAAGAGATTGAGACCATCCTGGTCAACATGGCGAAACCCCGTCTCTACTAAAAATACAAAAAATTAGCTGGGCACGGTGGTGTGTGCCTGTAATCCCAGCTACTCAGGAAGCTGAGGCAGGAGAATTGCCTGAACCCAGGAGGTGGAGGTTGCGGTGAGCCGAGGTTGCGCCATTGCACTCCAGCCTGGGTAACGAGTGAAACTCCATCTCAAAAAAAAAAAAAAAAGAGAAAAGAAAAGAAAGTAAATGCTAGGAGGTTGATCCTTATTGGGTTTCCGCACAAGAATCAGATGTGCCTCCTAGTAGATAGGAAATCTGCTCTAAGCATTGGAGGACAGCTTAAAAAAATAAAACAGAATAGTATCCAGGCTGAGGAAATAGTGTGTATGCTGAGAAGCTACATGGAATTTGATATATTAGAGTTTAAAAAGACATTCAAGAATTGCAGATGAGCATGAAAAGGTAGCTAAGGCTCGAGACAATGATTATTTTATGCCAAATTTAGGAGTTTGAAATTTATTCACAGGATTAGTCCCTGGACTGACTGGCTGAAATTGTTTGCAAAATGTTGTGGATGTATTCATTTTTTTGGGAAAAATAATCTGTAGCTTTTTCATTAGATATCAAAGTGGTCCACAGTAAAAAGGAATTGTCAAGAATATTTGCAATAAAAATAAATAAAAAATAAAAATTTTTTTAAAATGAAAAAATTTTTAAAAATGAAAAAAAAACAAGAAAAAAAAGAATACTTGCAGTGAAAAGTTTAAGTAAATGGCCATACTCTTCACTAATTAGAGTGAAGTAAGGCATTACCATACATCCATGTTGCATATTACAGGAAATGTGATGTACAGAACTTTGTCAGTGCAATGGATGGAAGTTGCCAGAAAGACTTCTGTAACCAAAACTAAACCATAAATTCATTCATTGAATATTTCACTGGACTTTTCCTATGCACCCAGAACTGTAGTAGGCACTGAGGAGACAGTAATAAATAAGTGCTCCTTTTCAGACATACATCCTAGTCAGGGCTCAGAGTCTAGTGAGCAAGGCAGACATTAATCAGATAATCACAAAAAAGAAATGGACAAGTACAAACTCTGATTATTGCTGTGTAGTAAAAGAAGGATGAGTTGTAATAGAGGAACCTGGTGTAGATGGGGGATTAAGAAAGGTTTTCTTTAGCAAATGCCATTTGAACTGAGGCCTGTAATGAGTGTCAGCCAACGAAGAAGGTAAAGGACTCCAAGCTGAGAGAATAGCACTTGCTAAAGCCCTTATGCAGGGCAGTGGTTGTTGTGTTTTAGGAAAGGAAAGAAGAAATATCAAATGAAAAAAAAAAAAGCCTGAGATGACACTAGAGAAATAGAGATTGGGTCATGCAGGGCTTTGTGGGCTATTTTAAGAATATGGATCTTCATTCTAAAAACATCAGGAGGCAACCCTTGAGGGGAATGGGCAGTGACATAATCAGGTTTATATATTTTAAGAGATCTCTCTGGTTACCATGTGGAAAATGGACTGAAGGGGGACAGGTTGGGATAGATTTATTAAATACTAGTATAACAACCTGAAAATACATTGATACCATCTACTTAAATTTATGGATTGTTATAAATTCATAAGATGTGTCTGGGCATTAGTTTCTCCATATGAAAAATGATGAGGCTGAACTTGTGGTCCTTGAAGCTCGGACTCCCCCACAAACAAGCTGAATGATTGATCCTCTGAGACGTGGAGGCAGCAGCTCCAATGCTTAACTGCTTCCTGCGCTGGCTCCAGGATGCCATGCGATAATGAGCTTTTTCTAGGTGCACCATGAGGCGACAAAGATTGAGAGGCCCTTCTCTAACCCTTTCCTGAACTCACATTCCATGATTTTAGGTTTTGAGGAAATCAAATTCTAATGCAACACCTTTGCCTTGAGGGAAGCGTTGCCCAGAGAAGGAAAGTGGCTCACCTACGATTGTCTGGCTCAGTGTATAGAACATGACTCTCCTAACCAGCAATCCTGGGTTTTTCTAGTTTGCCATACAGTCTCTATATCCTTTGTAAGCAGTGTAATTAATTATTATAATTATCAAATTGCAGGTGCTTCTTTTTCTTTCCTCTATCAACAGAAGTACAGTTTATTCTTTTTTGATTACCAGTTAAGAATTTATTGCTCTAAGTCATCAAGCATCATTTTACTCAAACTTGAAGACTACAAATAGAGAAATGAATTCCTAGGAAAACAACACATCTTATCTTATTCTGGCTTAGCTGAAAATATTACAAGACCAGCATTTCTATTTCAAAATCAGTCCAAAGTCTGTGAGCATACAGAAGTAATGAATCAGAAGATCAGTTAGCTGAGCTCTTAATGACTTTTACTTGATTTGAACATGAGTTCAAAGGTAAGCCAAGACTTGAAAGTTAAACTTGAATCTTACTATGCCACATGGACTCTCCTTAGCCTTCTTGAAAATCTAAAGTATAAGGGAGGTCCAGGAGGATGATTCTGGGCATAGACTCTGGAGTCAGGTGGTCTGAGTTTAAATCCCCGGCTTCTCCTCTTACCAATGTCATGATTTAGGAAAAATTACCTTTCTCAGACTCATTTTATCCACTTGCAGACTAGAAATCCTGACAGTTCACAGTAAAAATTAAATGAAGCAATATATGAAGTAACTTTCTCATAAGTCTTGAATTACCTCAGCATTTGCTCTCGCCAATTCTTTCCAGTTGTAAGTGAAAAAGTCCATCCTAGCTATTCCCTCATTATCTCATGAGTCTGATTATATATTCCCTCAGGTTTTATCCATCTAAGAGCTTTTTTACTTTTTTCAACTGCTCTTATTAAAAAAAAAAAAAGGCATTCCATCTTCTAAATAATGTTCGTTTGTATTTTCTAACCCTATTATAGTCTTGGAGCTTCTCTAACTGAAATGTGTATAGCAATAAGAACTTCCCAAGAAATAAAATATTCTGTGGTTTGTTTTTCTCGTAAAGAGTACTGTAATTCCTTGGGTTTAACTGACAGCATCCTTTATGAGGACACTCAGCATCTCAGCATTGATGGCCTCCCAGACAGCAGTCTTGGCCCGAGTATTCAGGGAACGACCAGGACATACTCCAAGATCCCTTTTCTGAGTCACTTTATTGTTTATAAAACTCATCTTGTAAACCTGCTTTGATTTATTTTCTTATCAATACGCAAGGTGACCCTGTTAAAGTTTACTCTGCTTTTCTGCCCGTATTCCCCATTTCGTCTTATGAGGCCTACCCATCTCCTTGGCACATTCTCCATGTTAAGTGCCTCCAGAGTACTGTGGATACGAGTAAATGCCAAATGAAGTGGGGGGCTCTATTCTTTCCTCAGATCGCATATAATGATATCAGATGGGCTTGGTTCAGGCTCTGATTTCTGAGGTGCCTACTTTGACTAAACTATCTAGGGCAGTGGTTTTCTTTTTCTTTTTTCTTTTCATTCAGAAACTTTATTGTAAATCATTGTCAACAAGGTCTGCATTTCTAACTTCAGTTTGTCACTCCTCTGAGGCACAGAGAAAGGAAAAGACCAGATTAGGGTTAATGTTTGTTGAGCACTATGCATAAAGGATCTTCTTTAGTCCTTATAAACAATACTAGGGAAGTGGTTTTCAACCCCATTGGACATCAGAAGTGTCTGTGGAGCTCTTTGAAAATGTGGATATCTAGGACCTACCCAAGACCTAATGAATCAGACTCTCCAGGGGTCGGGTGTAAGCATCTACTTTTTGTTTTTTTAAACATCCATAGAGTGATTCTGATGTACAACCAGGTTGAAAATCACCAATCTTGAGAACTGGTCATGATAACTACAATTTCTCTTATTTGAAATGTGTATTTATATTTGAGGATAGAATGTTCCCTGTCAAAATCTTTTCTTCTCTCGGAGTCGCAAAAATGAATTTCCAAGAGGAAGTGTCAAGGTCACCTGAGTCTTTCCTCTCTGCTTGCTTGGCATTCAGAACTGAGAAAACTTATCCCTTAAGTTTCACTGTAGCTGATTTGTAGCAGAGCCCATCCTGAGCTGCTGATTTCAGAATGGGAACATGGGGCCAAGTGTCCTTTTTTTAAAGGTATTATTTGTATAATGTGCTACAACTTTATAAATCCACCCAGAAACTGACATGCCTACTCAACCCAATGGGGTAGGTTTTATTATCTTCCATTTTTAGACTAGGAAACCGGCTCAGAGGGTTTAAATGATTTGCCTAAGAGCACCAGGAAATAGTGGCTAGACTCAAAGTCAGTTCACCCAGGTCCAAATCTAGCACTCTTTCTGTTCTTTCTACAGATTAATATTTTTATCATTCCATTGTGAAATAATTTCAGACTTACAGAAAAGTTTCAAAAAAAAAAGACTTTCCACAGCCCTTTACCTGTATTTGCCAAATGTTAACATTTTTACCGTGTTAATCATCCTTTCTTCTGTCCTTGTGTACATACGAATTTAATTATTTGCAATTAATATTTGATAATCTATTATCGATATAATTCCCCTTTATCTCTCAATACTTCAGTGTGTATTTCCCAAAAACATTGATATTACCTGCAGTCACCACAGGAAGTGATTATAAATCAAGTTAACATTAATACAATACTATTATCAATGTACGGACCTTTATTTTTTACCCACAAATGTCTTCTGTGGCAAAAGAAAAAAAAATTGTTTGTGTTCAGGATCCAGTCAGGGCTCACATATTGTATGTGGTTCTCACGTCTGTTTACTGTCTTAGTCTTGGAAGTTTCCTTGCTCTGCCTCTGCTGTTCGTGACCTGAATAATTACATATGCTATCATCTGATGAGCAGTGATTGACAGTTCTGGCTGTCAGCACATGATGGAATTATTCAGAAATACTTGGTTTCACTTACATACAGCAGAATGGGCCATAACAGTAGGAGAATATTTGGAAATCAGTAATAATGATATTTATTATGTGCTATTTATGCTGGACACTATTTTAAATGCCTTCCATATAATAATTCATTTCATTTAAGCTTCACAACAAACCTATGTAGTAGGTATTGTTACATTATAGATGTGGAATCTGAAGAACAAAAAAGTAACTTGCTCAAGGTTATCTGACCAGGAGATGGCAGGGCCAGGAGTCAAATTCCAACAGCCAGGCTGCATCCCTAGTGTGAGCTCTGAACCAGCACAGGCTAAACCAGAGACATTTAACAAAGTTATATGCCTTTAGGCAAGTTAATATTGGCTCCAAAAACTTGAGTCTCATGAACTGAAAAATGGGATAAATAATACCAACTTCGTAAAGGTAGTTATAAGGATTACACACAGTCTGTTAAAGCATTTGGTATGTAGCAAGACGTTCATTTTTTAAGAGTAAAATTTAAAATATAAACATGGAAAAATTGACCGTGACTCACACTGAGATGAAAAAAGTCTCAGAGAATACTTTTTTAATCATTACAGGTAGGAAGGAGAAGGGAACAAAAGCAACAAACATCTGATCATATTTTGAGAGACTGGGGAGAGACCATTTACAACCAAAACCATCTTCAAGACAGAAGAGGCTAGATCATGATGAGTCATGAAACACAGTTTGAGGATGAATTTCTGGAGAGTTATAGCCTTTAGTTATATTAGCAAAGACGGTAAATATTTTCATAAAGAGAAGAGTCAGCACCACTCTACTCTGGCCTGAGGTATAATTACCTTGCAGCTTTTCAAAGGGAATTGTTCTCATTAGTGGGTGGCAGTCATAGGAATCGAGGTTTTTATCTTTTTAGTTTTTATTTCATATGTACATATCTATATATATTTTAGAGACAAGCTCTTGCTCTGTCACCCAGGCTAGCGTATAATGGCAAGATCTTAGCCTTGACCTCCCAGGCTCAAGTGATCCCCCAACCTCAGCCTCCCAAGTAGCTGAGACTACAGGTGTACACCACCACAGCCACTTGTTAATTTTTTTGTAGAGACAGAGTCTTTCTGTGTTGCTTAGGCTGGTTTCGAACTTCTGGGCTCAAGTGATCCTCCTGCCTTGACCTCCTGAAATGCTGGGATTACAGGCATGAGCCACTGCACCTGGCCTTGAGGTTTTTAAAAGAGAACTCTAAAGACATTGAGTCTCCAGAATGAGTAAAATATATAGTCATTTTAATGTGATATTTTCATTTAGTCTTATTTATTTATTTATTTATTTGTTTATTTTTGAGACAGTCTCGCTCTGTTACCCAGGCTGGAGTGCAAAGGTGTAGTCTTGGCTCACTGCAACCTCCACCCTCTGGGTTCAAGCAGTTCTCCTGCCTCAGTCTCCCTAATAGCTGGGATTACAGGTGTGCACTACCACACCCATCTAATTTTTATATTTTTAGTAGAGACATGGTTTTGCCATGTTGGCTGGGCTGGTCTCGAACTCCTGACCTCAGGTGATCTGCCCGCATAGGCCTCCCAAAACTCTGGGATTACAGTGTGAGCCACTGCACCCGGCTCATTTAGTCTTAAAACATTTCAAATATGTCCACCAAACCTAAGGAGAAGGTAAGCAGTAAACAGTATCTGAAGAAGATACTGTTATGACTAAGTTCAACTTAATTTTTTAACTAGACTATGAATAGATTTGTGGGGGTACATCTGCAGCCCAAGGGCTTTTGGGGCTCTGAAGCTACAACTGTAGGCAAGGATGGATTTTTCATCTCCTTTCTATCAAGGTTTGAATGTTTCTTCTGAGTCATTCCACCCAGAGAGCCCTAGACTTCTTTCAGTTACCGCTCCTTTCCTCACAACTGTCCACTTCTGAGCCCCAGTTTGGGGAGCTGAAAGTAAGCAGTGATTTGGAGAGGGAGACAAAAAGGAAAAGGGAGCCCAGCAAAGGTTCATTCAAGGCTCACCTGTGCGTCCCCTGCTAGCAGCTGCCTCTCACCATCCCCACAGCATAAGCTCTCTCCTCCTCACCCCAGCCCAAGTCTGCAAGGCACCATCCCAAGGGCCTCTGTCCCATGCCTGCTGACCTGCCAGCTCGCGCCTTCCATAATCTGCCTCACCCGGCACCTTCCCCAACCTGCCCAACTAGCACCATTGATCTCTTTATTGCTTATTTTAAAGCAGCCTTTGCAACCGTAGTTTTCATTCAGCCATTCGGACAACCATGCTAAAGCAACCCTAGTGCAGAGGCCATTGGCTATAAGCAGAACAGGCGCAGAATAAAAATGTCGGGCCCTTTTTTCAAAATTCATTAAGAATTTCAAGACAGCAACAGCAGAGCATTAAACCAAGCACAGGGCTCTTCTAGGCATGTGGCCCCGTGCATAGGCTGCAGGCTCATGAAGCCGGTCTTGGCTGTAAGAGGCCCAAGTGAGTTGAAGGTTGGTCATCTAAATACACTGATATATTTAAAACTCAATATCATATTATTGGAACACTAACAAAATTGTACTTCAATCAAACTGACTAGATTTTACCTGAAAATCTAGTATAATAACACAGGCCCACATATGTGACTTTGGTGTTGGAACTCCACAACAGTGGGATAGATTCTCTAAGTGTTCAAGCACATCTGTACTCTTTATTTAAAACAAAATATAACTCCACAGGCATTTCTGATAATCAGCGTTAAAAACCACTGGAAAATAGATGCCTCCATTCCACCTCTAAAGTGTCTGATACACAAATTAAAGAATATAACAACCTTCACAAAACTATTGGGAAGGAAATGAGATTTATGTATGAAATTAGACTATGCACTATAAAGTAGTAAATAAATGTAAATTACTGATAGTGATAAAGACAGAACAAGCCTTCAAATTAATCTTATAGGTAGTCAAGTATCATTACCTGTTGGATGTGTTGAAGATGTTAAATGAATGGCAGGAGGGGAAGGAGTGGTATCGATGAGGATAGTTTAGACCATGTAAGATGTTTAGAAGTACAAAAGCAAAAATTTCATGAGGACCTCATGTGTTTGGACACTGTCCCTTGGCCCCCCACCCCCACCCCACCCTACCAGTTCATAGTCCGGTGCTGGGTACATAGTAGCTGGCTCAGGAGAAATTTGCAAATGAAAGAAAAGAAAGGCCTGCTTTAGGCAAAGGTTTCAAAGGTTTATGGTAGGCTTGGACTTCTCCATCTATATGTTTCGTTTTCTGCAGTACAACCTGAGTTGTACTAAACTATTCTACTATTCTCTTGCTATCTAGAGGCTGCAATGCAGGCTCATCAGAGCCTCCCCAAGACCTAATCTTTACCTGCTGGTTATTTCAAAACCCCTGCTCCTTATCAAAAGGAATGGATCCTATGTCCTATTCCTGCAAGACTGTTGCATGCTCTTCCTTTAGTTGTTAAGTAACATTGAATTCTTATAACAAGTTACGGGCACAAAAGGGCCACCTTTCATAGATAATGTTTCATTCACAGGAATGTAATAGTTGATCCTTGAAACACGCCAAAAGACATACCCAGTAATGACTATTTCAGGCACTGTGGCTGGCTGAATATGTGAGTTTTAAATTAACCTGGGCTGTATAGGGTCGACACTAAGGGGAAATATATGTGTTTCTGTGGAAAAGACAGCCCTTACAGGCTGCCTATGAGACTCCCGATTTTATGAAATCCAAGTTTTTTCAAGGCTTTATGATAGAGCTAGCTACAGATAGTGTGTTACAGTTTTATTACAATGTGGGCATTCTCTTAGGGCATAGGTTCCCTCTGTGACTAAATGAGAGTTGGATTCCATAGTCAGTAAGAGTCAACACCTTGATAAGATACTTAATCCCTCAGAAAGGACTGATGCTGAAAGTCCTTGGAGAAAAATGGAGAATTAAAGCTTAAACCAAGATACCCGCCTTGTTTCCAGGCTCTTTGTTTCACATGAGTAGGATATGGGTGCTAATTGGAACCATCAGTTGGAAGAATAACAGGCTTATCTATTTCTTGATCAACGTTCCCAAAGTAGAGCCCAGAGGACTAAAGATAACATGTCTGGTTAACACTAGCCCCCTCTGAAAGAAGAAAAGAGAAAGTCATGTTTTCTCAGTTGAATTTGAAACCAAGATCACTTTACTCACTCAATTAACACTGCTCTTGACTGTTCCTGGGATAGTTTCCCTCTGTATTCATAAGGTCCCTTAGTCCTAGATTTCCAAGGTAACGTCATTTGGTTCTCCTCTGTGAGCCAAATATACACAGATATCAAAGTGTTACTAATCCTTTAAGAAGCTAGGAGTTTAAGCTACTACTGAGCTTTCAAAGATTCTGATAACTGAACTTTTGTTTCTGACCAATGATAACATTTTTAATTTGGAGTTAGAACCGTTCCCTCTGCTATTAGGTGCAGCTGGAGCAGACAGGGCATGTTGTTGTTCCAAAGTAGATAGGTTCTGGTAATGCTGTTTTTGGTTAGTTTTTTTGTTTGTTTTTCAAGACTGAGTCTCTCACTCTGTTACCCAGGCTTACTGAAGCCTTGAATCTCCTGGGCTCAAGCTGTCCTCCCACCTCAGACCTCCAAGTACCTGAGATCACAGGCATGCACCACCATGTCCGGCTACTTTGTTTTTGCAGAGACAGGGTCTCCTTATGTTGTCTAGGGTGATCTTGAACTCCTGGGCTCAAGTGATCTCCAACCTTGATCTCTCAAAAGTGCTAGGATTACAGGCATGAGCCACTGTGCCTGGCCAATGCTATACTTTAAAGCATTCAAGCAGAGTCCTAAATTTTAGTCAACCCTTTATCACTTCCATGCTTTTTATCATATTTACCACCTGAAATTTTACTATTTTTCTTTAAATTCGTTCAATGCTATATTTGAACAAATTTATTTTACTGCCATAAATGGAAAACTATTTTTAAATTACTTTGATTTAAACTAGTTGTTTTACTACTTATCCTTAATTGAGGGTAATAAAATAAATACAATGAAAACAAGTTTAAAAAATCCTAGCTAGGTAATATCTCATGGCAAAGCCTCTGAGCCCAAGGTCTGTCCCCTTTTATTCGCAAGGGAAATTAACCAGGGTTGAGGACGTACTAACTCGGTGTTTTTTTCCTTTGGAGAATATGAAGGGTTGAAAAGAGAATCCTTTTTCTCTTCAGTAACTATTTAAATGCTTTTTTTTTTTTTGAGACGGAGTTTAGCTCTTGTTACCCAGGCTGGAGTGCAATGGCGCGATCTCGGCTCACCACAACCTGCGCCTCCTGGGTTCAAGCAATTCTCCTGCCTCAGCCTCCCGAGTAGCCAGGATTACAGGCACGCACCACCACGCCCAGCTAATTTTTTGGATTTTGAGTAGAGACGGGGTTTCACCATGTTGACCAGGATGATCAACCTCGTGATCCACCCGCCTCGGCCTCCCAAACTGCTGGGATTACAGGCTTGAGCCACCGCGCCTGGCCCTTAAATGCTTTTCATTCCAAGCAGTAGTCAGCCTAGCTTTGAAAAAACTCAGTCCCTTCACATTCTCAGTAAGGAAGTATTTGACGGGACTTGAGTGAAAACCCTTTTCTTGGATGTAAGAACACCCCAAGGGAGACAGACGACACTGTCCCTACACCCAAGAAATATGTCATCTACTAAGGGTCGGGATAAACTGATTAAAAAGAAATAATTTATTGAAGAGTGTGAGAAATATGCAAGTACTTAATACTAGAACCTGAGCAGCAGAGGAAAGAAGGTGGAGTTTTGTCTGTTTTGTTCACTGATGGATCTATCCCTAGCTGTTAGAAGAGTACTTGGTATATGGTAGGGGTCTGCTGAGTCTAAGAACACAAACCACATTCCCTGGTCTCCTAGTGGTGACACAGCGCTAAAGATCAGGAGTGGGAAATAGATTGGCACAATCAGGAGAAATAAAGAGGTAAAATTTGGAGAGAATCTTGGAGGAAGTTAACATGCAGACACACACAGTGGCTTAGAACAGAGGGTACACGGTACATATGAAAACAGGTTAAGGGAGTCACCAAGATCATGACCTTACAGCAGCCTTAAAAATGCAAACTACCCTCCAATTTGAATGAATGCTCCTCTTTCCTCAGACCTAAAGCCCCATTCCCCCTCTTATTCACAAGCATCACAAATTTATGACTCACATACACCTTACAAAATGAGCTGACATTTCTGCAAGACAGACTTCTATTTCCATAAATGTGGGTTCGTTTTTGAGAAACCCAGTTTCATGTAATTATGTTAGTTTATTTTTCTGTCACTTCAACTACTGAAATCTCCTAAAGACTTCAACTATTAAAGGTAAGCAGTTACGCCATTTCTCATAGTTCCCTCGCTATTTTTTTGGTTAAGTGGAGTCATTGTTCCTCTGGTACTAATGTCACACAATTTGTTGCTCTAGAAATAGCAAAACAAGAGAAATAGATTAGTGTGATTATAAATATGGAGCAACAGGTGGGAACAGAAGCTGTTTCTGGTATTTCTCACCAAAAGTGCCATGGCCTCTTGAGTCTGTCTCTCTGTAGAAGGCAGCAGTGCAACGTCAAGGATGTGTCCGAGCTCTGGCTGCGCAGACTTTGTGAAAGGTTTCCATTTCAGAAATACTATGTTCTGATTTTAGTATGGGTATTTCTCATGTTGGTTAAGTGGTACCAAATCTTCAGTTAATTATACCTGGAAGATGTTTTTTGGAAAGCTGATTTTTATCTTCTTTCACACTATAGCTAATTTTTAAATACAGCGAAGTAAGGACTTAGGCCAATCCCTGAATCAAAAAGCAAGGTCTGAACCTTCTTAATTTACTGAACCTCAACCTAACCTCATTTCTTAAAAATCGAAGTGGTAACTTTTCAACAGACATGTCTTTGAAGCAACAGCAGGAACCAACTTTTCTAAACTGAGTGAAGTAGCACTGCGAAATATTTTAAAAATGGAACTTCAGATGGAGCTTCGCTGATTCTCTGCATCTGATTAACTTCGTGTCTTTGGGAGAGGGTGTGTCTTGGTATTCCAGTGTCTGGAGTCCTGACCAACCTCGAGTCTCTGTTAAGTGGAAAAAGCCAAATTTGTCTGAACTAAATAAATTGTGTGTTTGTCTTTCAGGTTCAATACTTCTTCAAGATTTTGGATAACTAGTGGTGTGGAAAGTACAGAAATCACAGGTTGGGACATTTAGACAAGAGTGAATCACACACATGAGGAATGTGTTCATTCTTTTATTGTCCATTGTTTTAACCTGACTGAATACAAGATCAACAAGAGCACTGTACTCCTGGCAATTATTACATATGTTAGAACATGGATTTTGCACTGTAGACAACATTTAACACCAGTCTATGGGGTACTGCATTGCTTTTTATAAAGTTCAAAATAAAGATTTATTTTCAAACAAGTGACTTTGGTTTATTTCATACATTACACTTTTTCTTGCAGAAAAAAATAAAATTGTACAACTGCATAAATATAAAATTCTTCCACCATGAAAATGGTTAAAACATTCATAAAGACACAGCACCAGCATGTGATGCCTCCAGAAAGGAAAAAAGGAAAGTAAAATAAAATGTATAAAGCAAATTAATTAGCCCCGTCACTAGCCAAAGTGATGGGCAGATCCAGATCTCAGACACAGCTTTAGAACATACCGGAGGACAAGGGAAGAGATGTCAAGACAGCATTCAATACAAGCACAACACAACCCATCACCTTTGTGTGTTTTTCTGTAGTGTCACTTAAATTTTAAAGGGCAGTTCCCCCATGACAACCCCCCGCCCCAGCCCCAGGAAAAAACAAATCATAAAGACCCAACACCACAGGAAAAGACTATGGAGTATGTTAAAAATGTTCATTGATGGGCCATTTTCTTTGAAAGAGCAAAAAAAAAAAAAAAAAAAAGAAAAAGAAAAAAAAAAGTACCATGCCAGTTTTATTCCCGTTGAATATTTACACCTTGGACAGCAAACCTTGCTCACATAAAGTAGAAAACAGATACGATAAAACATGGCTTGAAAAATGACCAGAGTATGCACCTGTAGTACTGTACACTAAATAAAATACACAAGGCAGCAATACTTAGGGGCCAGAAACACTGCTTACTACAAGTCAGTTATGGAATCATAATTTACAGTAAAAATGGGCACGTCCCAAGGCTCAATTTTTCTTTTTTTGTCATTTACAGTAGAATAAATATTTTGTTGCTATTGCTACACTTTAATTTACATTCTAACCTATTAAATGCAGAAAGCGAGTGTAAAGCATATAGATTAAGTGTAGGTCCCATACGTATGACAGTTTGTTCAAGACTAGTAGGTTTTTGTTTTTGTATCTTTTTTACTTATTAAATGGCTAGTGGGAAAGATTTGTGCTTGTGATCAGCTCTTAACTTCAATTTTTACATCAAAACGTCCCTGAAAACGGTCTTTCTCACTGTACCCAATGTTCTCACCGTACGCCTTACACTCTATGCGAATTTCAGTGTCCATGGTGAGGTTGGTGAACTGTACGGCCAGCAGGGGCTGCAGGTATTTGGGCTGCAGGAGTTTGCCATAGTAGGGATAATACTGCAGAGGAAAACCAGGGTAGTTGCCCAGTCCGAAATACTCCACATTTCCAATTTTTTCCTTATCTTCATCTCGCTGAAATCCAGAATGAAATGCATTTTAATGGCTCACATCATAGATCACTATGTGTACTCAAAAACAAGACTCAATCTACAGAGTAGTTTGCAAACTTCTGAGAGAGGAAAGAACATCAACTCAGTCTATTCCATTGCAGCCTTGAGAAATGGTCATACGAGGAGACTATTCTCAATGTGCAAATGGATGGGGAAGCTGAGTCAAGGGCCAAATAAGCATTTCTTCAGGCCAGCACAGCCTCCTAGAAACAAGGTCAACACTGCAAGTCAGAAACTCCTTGCTGTTGGCCCCGTAGATGATATTCCCAGTGATATTATCTCCAACGTTTATTATTTGCCCCTCATTTTCTTGTTGAGAAATCAATCTCTATTTCCTTTCTTGGGGCTAGCGCCGTTTGGGGACTCCCTTTCTTTGTTCTGCCTTTCTCTCTAAACTGTCCATTAGTTTTTAGATCCAAAGGAAACATGCACTAACGGTTAGTCTTTCAATATTTTTTAAAGAGAAGCCCAAAACACAAATTTTATGTGACATTTTTTTTTTTTAATGTTGGCCCCAAATTTTTAATACATGCTGCAAGCCAGAAAGAAATTCTTCTGTGGGCTAATTCACCTCGGAGTTCTGTAAGCAAATATTCCAATGTATTAAATTCAGATATTTGAGTTTCTTATGCCAGTGGAGAAACTGACATCAGTCTTATTCTGATAACATCTTTTTTTTCTTTTAAAAAGTTTTACCCAGTATAGCTACAATTCAAGTCACTGAGACTTATACTTGAAAGCAATGTTTCTTATTTCTTATATTAAAACTTCACCTGTCACTTAAACAGTCTCATTCATTCACCCCTCTTCCCCTGTCCTTCCTCCCACCACCCCAGTAACCCTAAATTTATGTTTACCTTGCCAGTGCACTGAACGGGAAGGACATACGGGTTATACTTCATCACTGGGTAAGTCTCCAAGGACTCATTCTTGGGAGGCTAAAAATGAAACCCATTACTATCAGTAGATCGTAAATGATTTAAGTTTCTGAAAAATAAAACTAGTCTGTAGTCCAAACAAGTACGAACTGGTCACAAAATAACAAAAGACATCAGGATAGCAGAATGAATGACTCCCCTAACCAATTTAAGGTCATGTTTGTGATTCTGTCGAAATGAAAATAAGTGCCCAAGTTTTAAAACCATTACAATTAAGCTGTGATGCAACCCAGTACTAAATGGAACTTTTTAATAGTCGCCCATTATAAGCTTTGCTTAAAGACACTGAAAACTAAAAGCCAACCCAAAATATAATGTTCTTTATTTGCTAAGATTAGATTATATGGGAAAGATGACTGACATTTCTTTTTTCATAAAGCACGGGCTTTCCTCCTGAGTCATGAATAAATAATGCCATCCTTTTCTCTCAAGAATGCCTTCAAGTAAGCTTTCCTTTTTTGTTAGTTTAATCTCCAGTGGGGGAGACTGCCATTTAAGGAGTGTCTCTTTGCAATTTTCTTGGGAAAGTCCAATGTGTGAAACAGGAAGAGATGTCACTGCCTTAAGAGGAAGGGTTGTCTTGAAGGGATAAGTTCACTGAAAGGACCCAGAGTCCAGTCTGAACATTAATGCTGTCGTGAAATATCCAGAGCCGCCTCTCCTATACCCACGGCTGAACTCTTCCTCAGAAGTGTGATGAACATCAATTGCTGGAAGACAGTCACTTGCGTACTCAGATCAGCAAGTGAGTGTTGATGTGAGGGGTGACACATACGTAGTCTAATTAAAGTCAGATAAAACATTAGTTCCACATCAGGAAGGAACTACTATTTATGTACTTCTCTGTGTTGAATGCAAGCAAATGATCATCTAGATTTGACTCTTTTGGATGTTTCTGCCAGCAATATATTTATCTTTAAAAATATGTAGAGAAAATGCTTACTGATAAAAGAAGTTCCCAGAAGCTATCCTCCAAAGGTGAGGACAGTGAGATGCTGGGGATACTACGATCTCTGAAAAAAAGTAATTTCAAAATAGTTGGAGATTTGGGTGGAGGTGATGAATTTAGCCAGTGGCAATGGATAACCAAGTAGAGACCAAAGGAAAAGGAAAAAAAGGACTGAAAAGAAAGAATAGCTGAATTTATCACTGAACCAATTATCTCTAAAGATGTGGGAAGAGATGAATCACAATAGACTAGACTGCCTCTGTGAGGTTCAAATGCCACCACTCAATGTCTACGACGAGGAATGTCAGAAGCAAGGTATTCAAGAAAGCATGGCATCAGTCTTCTCTTGGCCACACCACACCAATTCCTCTTGCTGCTAAATAGCTGATTGATGTCAGTGAAGTATTCCCCAGCAATATGAATATCAAATATATTATGGCATAATGGTTCTCGCCATTTTTCTTCTATTATATCCTGTCTATGTGGAAAGCAGCTTAAAATCCTGTTGAGAGGTACATTAATTTCTGCCAGCGATCCATCAACCCAGCCAGCCAGGAAACCATCCATCCCCCACTGCTCATTTTTGCCTCTGGTGGCAATGAAGGAGCTTTGATGCATCCTTCAATTAACAAAACTTTTTATCTCTATGTTGATTTTCTTTTGAAAAGTATTCATGGGTAACGAGTATTGTAGAAATAATAGCATTCAGTAGAAAATTAATAAACAAAAGAGCCACTTCAGAAATGAAATGAGTTTGTTCACATAACTCAATATATTGCAGTCAATTTCTATCATAATTAAAAACAACACTCATAATGGCAATGCTCATATACGGGTGACTGGGGAAAGCCCATCAGAAGAAGCTAGGCTTAAGGGGAAAATGACAGCATTAATTCATGATCTGGAGGAGAGCTTTCCAAAAGCAGACAACACCAATAAATTTTCCATTCTTATGAAGAATCAATATAATCTCACCAAGTGGCAATTTGCCATTTTTAAGTGATCCAGAGTAATGTTTGCCCATTATAAGCTGCAATAATACAAAAGCCGATAGCATGGCTGGCAAAGTTCAGCCGAGATGATGTTAAACTTCTACTTTTGCAATAAAATTCAAAGAAGTACTTTTTCTGATTATCAATTTTTTTTTTAAATGTTCTTGTGGCTTCAAGAGGACCAAAGACTGTACCTGCAGGTGGCTTAAATTTTTTTTTTTAATATGTCTATAGAATTTTGTTAAAAAATAAAAAATAATTTTTAAAAATAATCCATTCTTTATGGAGTAAAAAAACCCATCTTTTTATTTTGTCTAACCACTAGACCACCAGGGAAAAAAAATATCTTTTTCTATTTTTACTTTTAAACAGTTTATGTCATAGAAAGTGTTATCTGGATACTGAGCAGGAGTATAAGAACAGGGCCACAGACTCACTTCAGAATTTAGCTTTGCCTCGCAGAATTCTTTTAACTTTAGAAAATTCAATTAATGCCCTAACTACAGGAACTGCAGGCTGCATACAGAAGTTTTTGGTGTTACTCTACTGACTGGGTTTCAGAATCAGCACTGAGTATACTTTAAAACTATCCTACATTGTCTTCTGAGATCAATGCTTAGTGTGAATGACTCATCTAAATTTTCTCATTTAAAATATTACTTGCCTTAGGTTTGAAGCCGAGAACTCGGTTGAGCTTTATAATAATACATGG